TTGTATGTTTCTTATCTCACTCTCACACCTCAGAGGTAGCCACCTTACTGGGTTCAGAAAGCCCAAGCAGCTTAGAATCACATCGTAGGTACTTGGCAAGACGTGAGCCAGACCTGTCCCAATCAAGTCTGAGCTTTTAAGCAACACCCTCTTCTGTCTCCTCAAGCAGACAAAGTGCCCCAAAACAATACCCGTTGGTTTCCAGTTCGACTTAGCTGCTTATCCCCGCGCACAACAAGACCCTCTATCTATCATGGTGTGCCCACTCTGTACTTTGCTGGGATTCTGATTAGTCCCAGAACCACTCGTTCATCAAAAGTCCAATCCTTCCATGCAGTCTTCCTATTTCACTAGACACGTGACTCTCCTTTATCAATCTACAGCACATGCATAAAGGAGAGTCTTAACTCCACTCTTTTTTTTTTTTTTTGAGACAAGTCTCACTTTGTTGTCCAGGCTAGAGTGGATGCCGTGGCGTCAGCCTAGCTCACAGCAACCTTAAACTCCTGGGCTCGAGTGATCCTTCTGCCTCAGCCTCCGAGTAGCTGACTACAGGCATGCGCCACTATCCCCGCTAATTTTTTTTTTTTATAATATATATCAGTTGGCCAATTAATTTCTTTCTGTTTATAGTAGAGACGGGGTCTCGCTCTTGCTCAGGCTGGTTTTGAACTCCTGACCTTGAGCAATCCGCCCGCCTCGGCCTCCCAAGAGCTAGGATTACAGGCGTGAGCCACAGCGCCCGGCCCTTAACTCCACTCTTGACGTGGGTGCCTCATCAAACAGATAATTAATGTTTTGCGCTCAAAGAGCGGTGAAGTAATCAAACCGTGTAAGTCAGCCTCTGCCTGATGTTCTGACAGCTGAGTCTTTTGCAAACTGACTCTTAACAACACCTACCTTCCCACCGACTGTTGCTAAGATAGCTGCAAAGGCTCACCTGGGAAGACTAGCCCTGTAATGAACTCCCCCTGTTTCAGTCTCCTAGGTAGCAGATTGGGAAACGATCCCTATAATTGCAGCTGCTAAAAGTAACAGATAATTTGTAATAATAGTAAGTGTACATTCAAATCAGATTTTTAACAAAGAATTCAGACTGATCTGTATGCCATGTTCATTTTATACCATTTCATTATTTAAACTAGATACAAATATAGTGTGCCTTTTACATACCAGGTAGTGATAAAGTGACCAGATTAAAAAAAATTAAAAGATTAAAAAAAAATCCTGGAGGTCTGTTTTTTTTTTTTTTTTTTTGAGCAGAGTCTTGCTTTGTTGCCCAGGCTAGAGTGAGTGCCATGGGTCACCCTAGCTCACAGCAACCTCAAACTCCTGGCTCAAGTAATCCTGCTGCCTCAGCCTCCCAAGTAGCTGGACCAGGCATGTGCCACCACACCTGACTAATTTTTATATATATTCAGTTGGCCAATTAATTTCTTTATTTATAGTAGAGACGGGGTCTCGCTCTTGCTCAGGCTGGTTTTGAACTCCTGACCCGAGCATCCGCCCCCTGGGCCTCCCAGAGTGCTAGATTACAGGTCTGAGCCACCGCACCCGCCTATTTTTACTTTTTTAGAGGGACGTGGGTCTTACTATGTTACAGGCTGGTCTTGAACTCCTGGGCTTAAGTGATCCTCCCAACTCAGCCTCAGCCTCTCAAATAGCTGGAATTACAGGTGCATGCCGCTGCACCTGGCTCAATTTTTAAAGGATCTTAAAAATCAAAATCATCTTTTCAATAAAACTTATATAAGGGGTAAAAAAGAAAAGAAAGAAATGTAAATAGATTTAAAAAAAGAATCATCCTGCTCAGGACTCTCAGCCTAGGCCCCAGAATAGGTGTCAGGGAAGTCCATGGATGCCCTGAGGTTATTTTATAACATTTAAGTACATACCACTTTGTGTATATTTCTAGAGGAAGTTCATTAGTATCCTCAGAGGGTTCTATATTCTAGTTTAATGCACTTGTATTACAGATGAGGATACTAAAGTTCATGAAATGAAATGGACTGCCTAACAGCACACAGTAAGAATTCACTAGGAATTTATATAATAAATAAATATTAATGCTCAAAACATCTTGACATAAGAAAAAATTAAAGCTAAACCTATTTTATGGAAAGCAAGACAGACATAAGTAATTAAGGGTCTTCAGTATACTTAAGGGATAGAACTAAAATATTGTACCCATTCTACTTTATTGAATGAGGTGTTACCTGATAAAAATATATATATCAATTACCTTTAATATTCTCAGTGATATCATGTAGGGTACATCATGTGTACCCTCTGGTATGACGTGATGAGAAGGGCACTTCACTTCTGTTGTCTTCTTTTCAAAGTCTAATCATAAAAAAACATCAGATAAACCAAGATTGGGGGAAATTCTACAGGATAGCTGGCCAGTATCCTCAAGACTGTTAAGGTCATGAAAAATAAAGAACAACTGAGCCCGGGCGCTGTGGCTCACGCCTGTAATCCTAGCTCTTGGGAGGCCGAGGCGGGCGGATTGCTCAAGGTCAGGAGTTCGAAACCCAGCCTGAGCAAGAGCGGACCCGTCTCTACTATACATAAAAAGAAATTAATTGGCCAACGATATATATATAAAATTAAGCCGGGCATGGTGGCGCATGCCTGTAGTCCAGCTACTCGGAGGCTGAGGCAGAAGGATCACTCCGAGCCCAGGAGTTTGAGGTTGCTGTGAGCTGACCACGGCACTGAGCGAGGCTGACGCCCGCACTCCACTCTAGCCTGGCAACAAAGCGAGACTCTGTCTCAAAAAAAAAAAAAAAAAAGAACAACTGAGGGAGAAACTGTCATAGACCGGAAGAGTCTAAAGAGACATGACAATTAAATACAGTGTAGTATCATAGTTGGGATGCCATAACAAAAAGAGGACATTAATGGAAAAAATGGTGAATTTCAGATGAAATCTGGAGATGAGTTAATAATAATGTACTGGTATTAGTTTCTTAGTTTTTGATTTTTTTGTTCTGGAGACAGAGTCTCACTCTGTTTCCCAGGCTAGAGTGCCGTGGCATCAGCCTAGCTCACAGCAACCTCAAACTCCTGGGCTCAGGCGATACTCCTGCCTCAGTCTCCCAAGTAGCTGGGACTACTACCTTAGTTTTTTGTACTGATTCTCATAGATGTTACCAAATGTGAATATGATATTGTCTCATGAACCAACAAGCCAGCTCTGGTACTCGTGATGAAAGAAGTATAGGCATAGGTCCATATTGTGCTCATTTGCATTGATTATTCCAGAATCTATAATGAGTGTAAGAGGAACAAACACGAGACTCAGTACAACTGAGTTAGACATAAAACTACAAGTGTGAAGCCTTGAATGGTGAGATTGAGTTGGAAGGTGTCAAGGACCCATGCGTGTGCTTGGCCTCTGAGCAGCAGCCCACCTCTGACACTAATGCAGTGACCTTGAGGGTCTTAATGTCCTTAACCCTCAACTTGCTTAACCTTAAAATAAGGATAGCAGAAGTGCCTGCCTCAAAGAATTGTGAGAATTAGATAATATATGCAAATTGCTTAGCACAGAACCTTGTAGGACTCGTTATAGGGTCTTTTTTTTTTTTTCCCCAGGCTAGAGTGAGTGCCGTGGCGTCAGCCTAGCTCACAGCAACCTCAAACTCCTGGGCTCAAGCAATCCTAGCTGCCTCACCTCTCACGTAGCTGGGACTACAGGCATGGCACCCAGCCATGCCCGCTAATTTTTTATATACCTTACCTTAGTTTGGCCAATTAATTTCTTTGTATTTATAGTAGCAGATGGGGCTCGCTCTTGCCAGGCTTGATTTTGACTCTGACCTCGAGCAATCACGCTGGCCTCGGCCTCCCAAAGTGCTAGGATTACAGGCGTGAGCCACCGTGCCTGGCCTGTTATAGGGTCTTGTTAGAGGAATCTGACAAATGGTTGATATCACTATTATTGTTTGCACCACTAAGGAAAGAAAAGCTTTTCCATAGATGTTGTCTCCATTGCCCATAAAATAAATCTCAAACTCCTTAGCATGGTTTTTAAAGCCAATTTTATTGTATATAAGCAGCTTAATTTCTTGTGACTATTCTTCCTACCTCTGAACTGCCACCACAGTGAATTTTCCAGAGCTTTCACACCCCTATTGTCTCTGCCTCAGATTCTTCCCTTCTGGGATCATCCTTCAAGACCTGTGTCAGTGTCCCTTCTCTGAGAAGCCATTCCTCACTCTCCTGGGATGTTCTTTGTCCATTCCTTCTGTCACCCATAGAATTATACCTGTCCCAGTTGTAACTCATCACCTTGTACCGCTGTCTTTGTTTACCTGTGTAGTATAAAAATAGATAGGTAGGCCAGGAGTGGTGGCTCACGCCTGTAATCCTAGCTCTTTGGGAGGCCGAGGCGGGCGGATTGCTCAAGGTCAGGAGTTCAAAACCAGCCTGAGCAAGAGTGAGACCCCGTCTCTACTATAAATAGAAAGAAATTCATTGGCCAACTGATTATATATAAAAATTAGCCGGCATGGTGTCGCATGCTCTGTAGTCCCCAGCTACTCGGGAGGCTGAGGCATAGGATTGCTTGAGCCCAGGAGTTTGAGGTTGCTGTGAGCCTAGGCTGATACAGGCACTTCACTCTACCTGACAACAAAGTGAGACTCTGTCTCAAAAAAAAAAAAAAAAAAAGATAGGTAAAAATCAGAAGATCAGAAATCCTTCTTCATCTCCATGTTCTTCTGGTGCTTGGCACATACTTGGTGCTCAGCAAAACTGATGAATAAATTGAATGAATTTAAGTGGAACAACTGTGGTTGCTCAAGATTGTTTTGGAGGATGACTAATGAAAATTTGTTTGATTTTTACTTATTAAAACCTCATTTAGTTCGTAAAAGTGAAAACCAGTGTTACTTATTTACTACCACTTTGTTTACTGTTAATCTTTAACACATATGTAATACGATTCTTTGAGAAATTTGATCTTGCCTTTCTGTTGTTCTTTTATCTTCCAGTTTCCGGTTACAGCTGTCCCTTGCCATAACTTTTGAACAATATTTGGAAAAATACTGGCCAAGAGAAAAAATGATAAAATTTTTCCTCATGGTGAATAAACAAGGGCAGACCCGACTCTCTAAGTACTATGAACATGTGGATATTAATAAGCGTACACTCCTGGAAACAGAAGTCATAAAGAGCTGTCTCTCTCGATCCAATGAGCAAGTAAGTTTCTGATACTCCCTTTTATCTCTGCATTCAGCTCTGTCTTGGCAGATCTTTTATTACTGACTGAGCCTCAAGGACTATCATTTTCTTTGAACTGTACTCCTTCAACAGCTATTAGGGAAAATAAGGAATAATGTAAGTGAAGACAGAAGGAAGCATAGCTCTCTTTACATCCCCTTAAGAAAATTATAAAAAGGAAAACCAAGAAAAGGCTCGGGTTCTTATTTAGGTCAGCACATTTGTCTCAATGTGCCACAGAAGTGGCAGCTAAATTTACTCCTCCTAATAGGCATATCTTTTTTTCGTTCATATGAATTTACCCCTTGTTACTCTTACGAGTGCTTGTAGCAGGTAGCTTTCTGTAAGCCAAAAAATGAAGGTCACATGATTGCTATGGAGGTGAATACTCAAGACCCATTTTGTGCCAGAGAATAATAATATGGTTCTCATATGGAGTGAAGTTTTTTTCTGCTTATTATTTTTATAAATATACCATTAACATAATATAGAACTAGTGATTTATTATAAAAACAAAACCAACTTGATTTGAACTTGTCTTATTTTATTATGTAGATGGGGGAAATGGAAGTTAAAAATTCACATGAAACAACAAATCTATCCTGCCAAATTGAAGGTTAAATAAAATCATTAAAATAATGATAAATAGGGATTTAAAAAACCTGTCTACTTTTACAAAGAATTTTTATTGACATTTACTTAATCCAAGTCCTAAACTTTAAATCCATTGGAAATCACTCACCAGCTGAGGCAAAGTCAGAAAGCTTGTTTTTGTCCATGAATTTTGTCACTTCTCCATTTCCTTGCATATGTAGAAAGGGTGTCTGTGGGAACCACTGCTAAGCCATAAACTATTGAGCTACGCCAGTGCTGAGAAGTTACGTGCTGGAAATGTGTTTCCCTTGGCTTCTAAATTGATTTTCCAGTTGGAACATCTCAGAGTTCCTCTTTGAATTACTACTTTGATTTGCCATGGCACACATTGCTTTATGTTGTTGTCAGACGGAAACAGAAACTGTTAAAGGGCTGTGTTCATGGCCACATACTCTAAGTAAAAGTAAACAGACTCTTAGAAGCATTCCTGTTTGAATCTTTCTACAGAATGTAGGCTCTCCACAATTTTAAACATCATTTTCACTGATAGGTCATGCTTTGAAATATAAGCTCTGGAATGAATATACTGTTAGATATTTTTGATACATTCTAAATTATTTTAGATTTTAAAAGGAACCCACTGGTCTTTTGGCATAATCAGGTACCAAAGTAGCATAATATCAGCTTAGTTTTTATTTTATCCACAAAGGTGCTGTGATGTATTTTTTTTAATGTCAGAAACTCCTGAGAGGCTTTGAAAAATGTTCCTCAGTTCTTTCAAACAGGTTGTGTTTCCTTGAAAGATCCAACTGAGCAGAAATCACACTGGCTCTCCAGTGAGCCAAAGCTTTCAGTATGGTTCTGTACTCATTACCTTTATCTGAATTTTAAATAAAAGCCTCAAATCTCTCCATCTTGTAGACTGTCAAATGGCTTTCCCATGGAGGAATTTCCATGATCAAAACTTGCAGCTTCATTCCCAGGTACATCTAGACACCCAAGAGCAACGCAGCATGGTACAAAAAGCCATAAAGGCATGCTCAATTGCATCTGGGCAAACACACCCTAAAGTCCAAAGGAAGACCAACACCGTGCCTTCAGCCTGCTCTGCAGTTCCTGTCCGCCCAGTGCCTTCCCGCAAGTGGGAAGTCGCTTTAGGAGAGAGAGGAATGACAAGAGAGTTGTTTTATCCAAATGTCAGTGGTGCTTTACTAGTTATTAATTCTTATGAAGCAATGTTTACAATGTGAGATTTTGTCTAGCATCTGCCACACAAAGGCCACCTTTAAATAATTTATAAAAGAATCTGCATTGATGCTCTTCATGCGACTCTAGGAAAAAGCAACCAATATATATATTTTTTGTATGCTCTGCGTATTTGGCTCCTCAATGACTACTAAATAATACAAAACTGAGAATATCTAACTGCTTCACAAAAACTCGTGGGGAGGTAGAAAGAAGATAATCTTTTTTATCATGTTTGCTTATTTTCACACTGGAGGCAGTTTAAAATGCTGATTAGTTTTGCCTGCTGAATTCCACATGAGCCAAGCAAAGGAATGGGAGGAGTACAGTGGGAACCCATGTGAACACTCAGACTTTTTCCCGATACTTCTTCTCCAATTCCCACTAGAGATGCTTCCAAGTAGTCCCCTGAATGTTGTGAGAAGGCCAATAATGATTGTGTAACATTTTAGTGTTCTATATTTCTAGGAGTATGTTGGCAGATACTCAAATCAGAACCTAGAAATTATACATGCCATTTTAAAGAAATCTGTCACCCATAGGAATTAATATCGTACTGTGTTTTATCTAGTGCTCTTTCATTGAGTATAAGGATTTTAAGCTGATATATCGGCAGTATGCAGCTCTCTTCATTGTGGTTGGAGTGAACGACACTGAGGTAAGATAATAGAGGAGAGTACGCAAAATGTAACAAAATTGGGGATAACTGTCTGGTTTTTATTCCCCCTTAAATTGACATTTTCTTTCTACTTACCTTCTAAGAATTAACTATTGACTGTTTTGAAGGATCTTGGTTTCTGTCAAGGCTGCGGACAGCTGTATGGAAGAGAAATACCTAGGATGTTTCTTGGATTAGATGAGCAGCTTACAAAGGGGAGAAGCCCCAAACCACACAATGCGTTCCTCCGTCCTAAGCAATACCAGTGCCCTGCCCTTGTTCTGTGACACAGTGGAACAGCTCAGACAACTATAGAGGCCAATGGATTTTGGCATTGAACAGTGTTAACATATCAAAAACCAGAGAAAACTCAAAATATGATTGTTTTGGGATTATATCTCCTCAGATTTAGTTCACCTCTTCAGAAATGTCCCAGATCAACAGCACATAAGGCTATGGAATTCCCAAAATGGTGTTTCAGATCTAAAATACTTTGAAATCTCAGTTGATTGATTTTTTTAATCCATGAACTGGACTTTGAAGTGGTTTCTTCATCTTCACAGATGAAAAAATGATGGCATGAAGAACCTGTAAACTTGCATAAGCAAGTTGGTGATGACATCAGGGAGTAGAGCTCAGAATTCAAAACACTAGACTCTAAGGTTTCAATCTGGTTAGATTCATCATAGAATTTTTTTTAATTAATTAATTAATTTTTTGCACAGGCTAGAGTGAGTGCCGTAGCTTCAGCCTAGCTCACAGCAACCTCAAACTCCTGGGCTCAAGCAATCCTCCTGCCTCAACCTCTCAAGTATCTAGGACTACTAGTGCACGCTACGATGCTAATTTTTCTGTTTTTTGGTAGAAACAGGGTCTCACTCTTGCTGAGGCTGGTCTCAAACTCCTAAGCTCAAGCAGTCCTCCCGCCTTGGCATCCCAGAGTGCTAGGATTACAGGCATGAGCCATGGTGCCTGGCCTCATCATAGACTTAAAAAAAAAAAATCTTTAAGAGATTAAAGTTTCATACATTTTCCTTATTAATAAGTATCTCTTAAACAAATGAATCATAGAACTGTTCTGAATGTTTGTCAATGGGAAGCTACTCTGCTCACATCTGTTCACTAAACCACATTCTCTAAAACCTAGAAGCTGACTTGGGCAGTTATACCTTATCGTTGCCCAGGCCTCGAATG